TCCGACTTAGCCACGCATGAGTCCAAGAATGTGATCAATTGCTGCGCTATTCTTGACTTCTCCCTCTAAGGAGTCAATTGCGGCAGGAAAGTCTCAACGACCATGGCAGCAGACCACAGCTCTAGTGTGCCGCCTAGCATGGAGGACTTCGTTGTCGGGATCATCGGCATGGGCGACATGGGGAAGATGTATGCGCGGAGACTCAGTGATGCTGGCTGGAGGTAAGAAGTTGACAGCACTGCTGCAATTCATTCCATGGGTCGCATTCGTCCGAGCCTCCGTCAATTTACTATGGTGAGTCAATCTTCCGATTCAGCAGATCCCCCTTCGCATATGATGACTTGAGTGCATTTGGCTCGAGCATCGCCCTCGACTTCTGGAGCGGCCATTCTGGCTCCCGGCGGTCGTTGGCTTTCCATGATGTAACTTCTCAGCTACCTTTTCAATCTTGTCTGAAGCTTGCTTTACCATCACATCTCGTTTGATACAACATTTTTACGTCGCAGTACGCTAATTTGCTACGTACAGGTGCCATTCGTGATTCGTTCGAGTGTATTTCCAGGATACTAACAGTCCGTGTACGTCAGGGTAATCGCCTGTGACAAGGAAGAGGCGTATGAGAGTCTACGTAAAGAATTTGCCGGCAGGGTACAATGTGTAGTTGACCCCTCTCAGAAGGAATCCATGCTGAGAGGTATATAGAACAATATACAAATCCTCCGAAATGGCCATCTTGTATCTCGCGCGAGTGACTACATTATTTATAGCGTAGAAGCCGCGGCTATCGATCGTGTTGTCGCTGAGTACGGTCCTTGTACGACAACTTGCTGCTTCTGAATCCATTCATTTCGTTACTAACGATACGCAGCAACTAAGCTGGGTGCCATTGTAGGTGGACAGACATCATGTAAAGACCCAGAGATCAAGGCGTTCGAAGACCATCTACCCGCGGACGTGGATATCGTGTCTTGCCATTCTCTCCACGGCCCCAAAGTCGATACTCGAGATCAGCCATTGGTACCGTCCAAATCACATTAGGTCCCCGGCTTCTTACTAACACGGGTTTAGGTCATAATCAAGCACCGTGCTTCTGACGACTCGCTCGCAAAGGTCGAGACAGTCCTGCGATGTCTCCATTCGAAGCACGTATACCTAACCGCGCACGAGCACGATCGCATCACAGCAGATACTCAGGCTGTCACGCACGCGGCCTTCCTCAGCATGGGTAAGGCCTGGCATAGCATGCGGCAATTCCCCTGGGAAGGCGCGCGCTACGTCGGCGGCATCGAGAACGTCAAGATCAACCTGACGATGCGTATCTACAGCCAGAAATGGCACGTGTACGCGGGCCTCGCCATTCTGAACCCAGAGGCCCGCAAGCAGATCGACCAGTACGCTAAGAGCGTGACGGAGCTCTACAAACTCATGCTCGGCGGGCACCTCCCAGAGCTGCGCGCGCGGGTGCTCGGCGCGAAGGAGAAGGTGTTCGGGAAGGAGCACGAGCCGAAGTGGGCTGACAAGCCGCTGCTCAAGGACGAGGTGCTGGACCAGTTCAGCCTCGGCAGCCCGCGCGTGTCGGACCACACGCCGCTGCCCAACAACCACCTGAGCCTGCTGGCCATGGTGGACTGCTGGAGCGCGCTGGGCATCGTCCCCTACGACCACATGCTCTGCAGCACGCCGCTGTTCCGCCTCTGGCTCGGCGTCACCGAGCACCTGTTCCGCGACCCCGGGCGGCTCGACGAGGCGCTCAGGATCGCCGTCGAAGATAACACCTTCCGCAGCGACGACCTCGAGTTCACGTTCGCGGCGCGCGGGTGGGCGGAGTGCGTTGGCCTGGGACACTTCGAGACGTGGAAGGAGAGGTTCGTGGTCACGCAGAAGTTCTTCGAGCCGAGGTTCCCTGGCGCCATTGAGGTGGGCAATGCTATGGTTAAGGCGGTGCTTGAGAGTACTAAGAGCTAGGTCGACGCGTGGGAAAGGAAGGGAACGTGAGAGAGGGGGGAGATGATTTTTTCCCTTTGCTGTGTATTTGTCCTTGTGTAGCATTAATAGATGATGGTGGTGGCTCACCACACTCGGAGAAAAATAGAAATCGGCGATACTTTGACTAATTTCTCTTTGCCGATTATATATCTCTTCGCTTCGTCCCGCGATATGAAACAAGCACTCATGTAACTAGGTTGGCAATGGATTCGTAAGACAACTCCAATAGTCATAGTATCCACACATAGAAAAACAGAGAAGGTGGAGGACCGCGAGCTTCCGGTTGATTAAATTCGATTCATGTAGAGAAACGCCAGATAACCAATACCATACATATCCATAGACCCTTCAATGATGGAAACAAGAGTACATCGGCTACCGTCAAGCAGGTCCCAGAATCTCGTCGGCAATCGCCCGTCCCGCCGCCCTACCCGAAAAGATGCAACCGCCCAGAAACGTGCCTTCGAGAGAGTTATAGCCATGCACGCCGCCGCCGCCGAACCCGGCCGCCTCTCCCGCCGCGTACAGCCCCGGGAACTTCTCGCCGTCCGCCTTCATCACGTTGCTCTCGAGATTCGTCTCGAGCCCGCCGAGGGTCTTGCGCGTCAGCAGGTTCATCCTCACGGCGATCAGGGGCCCGTGCTTCGGGTCCAGCAGGCGGTGCGGCGGCGCCACGCGGCCCTTGGAGTCGATCCAGTAGTTGCGGCCGTTGCGGATGAGCATGATCTGCGCGTCCTTGCAGTACTCGTTCGCCACCTGGCCGTCGCGCGTCTCGACGGTCTCCCTGACGGCCTTGGGGTCGAGGAGGGGCCCGCCGACCGACTTGGCGAGCTCGTTCATGCCGTCGATCAGGTCCTCGAGGTTGTCGCGCGTGACGAAGTCCTTGCCGTGCTTCTGGAAGTTCTGCACGGGCACCGTGCCCTTCGAGCTGAAGAGCCGGTTCTTGAGCACCTGCCAGACGCTCTTCGCTGTCAGGTCCGGGTTCTGCTCCGAGCCCGAGAGCGCGAATTCGCGCGCGATGATGGTCTGGTTGAGGATGAACCAGGTGTAGTCGTAGCCCGTGCTGCAGATGTACTTGAGTGTTCCCAGTGTGTCGGCTCCGGGGTAGAGGAACGGCGGCAGCCTCTTTCCTGTCGCGTCAAGCCAGAGCGAGGACGGCGCCGGTAGGACTCGGATTCCGTGGTCTGGCCAGATAGGATTCCAGTTTTGTAGCCCTTCAGTGTAGTGCCACATTCTATCGCGGTTGATAAAGTGCGCGCCGGCCTCCTCGGCAATCCCCACCATGCGGCCATCGACGTGCGCAGGGACACCGATGACAAAGTTCTCCGGCACCTTCGGACCCAGACGGTCTACGGGCCAAGCCTTTTTCACCGCCTCCACGTTCCCGCCAATGCCTCCGGAAGACACAAGCACAGCCGAGCCGTGAAGCTCGAAGTCACCAACTTCCGTTCGCGACGTCTTCACTCCTCTAGGTGAGGAATCCGGCTCGAGAACCTTGCCTCGAACGCCGGACGCCCTGCCATTCTCGTCGACCAGCAACTTGTCCACCCTGTGCCTGAACTTGAACTCCACAATCCCTTTCTTCTCGGCCTCCCTAACGGGCTCCGCGAACACCCGCACGACCTCGGGCCCAGCGCCCCAAGTGATGTGGAACCGCGGGACAGAGTTCCCATGCCCGCCAGCAGTCCCGTCGCCGCGCTCCGCCCAGCCGACGTTGACCATGAACCCGGCGCCGAGGCCCTTGAGGTACTTCTCCATGCCGTCGGTCGCGAAGTCGACGAAGGCCTCGGCCCAGCGCCGCGGCCAGACGTCCTCGTCCTGCAGCCGGTCGAACTGCGCGGACCCGAGCCAGTCGCGCAGCGCCAGCGCGCGGCCGTCCTTGATGCCCATGCGCCGCTGCTCGGCCGAGTCGACGCAGAAGATGCCGCCCAGCGACCAGAAGGCCTGGCCGCCGAGGTTCTGCTCGGGCTCCTGGTCGACGACGAGCGTCCTCACGCCGCGCTGCGACAGCTCGTAGGCTGCTACCAGCCCGGCTAGGCCGCCGCCCACGATGATGACCGGGAGCTTCTGCTCTGCGGGGCTGTTTTCGGTTGCCATTTTCCCCTTCTAGTTTTTGTGCCTTCTTTCTGCTTTATGTACCTGGGTGTTTATTCACATTGGAGAGAGAACTAGGTAAGGAACGGAATCAAACAGGAGATGAGAGATATGTATGTGATCTTTACGCTGGTGCAATTTGATGTACTACGAGCATGGACTAATTAAAAGATGATCCCATGTACAGTAAAGGGCGACTTCCGTCCGCCTGCATCGAATCCTTCTGATACCCTCGGTAAATACTTGTATTCCAAGAAAGGACCGCAAAGGGAACGTAAGGAACCTTATGAATGAATGTGGGAGGGTGGTTGAATCAGCAAGTCGACGGCGGGGTTAGCACGAGTTTACTACGTACAGCGGTATGGCCGGGGGGTGGCGTGGTCCCTTGTTAACGGATGTACCGAGGCTTCTCCCGTCGAACGATTACCATCGCTGCTCCCTGCATTCGCCTTTGTCCTTGGCCGAATTGGTAGTATCTGTCATATGCGCATATTCGTCGGCCGACTCTCAGCTGTTTTACACTCGTATACGAGGAAAGAGGTGGTTTTTTCGAATGCTTCATTCGCGTACAGAGAAGCTTACCCGCCCCTACCATAGTACATCGGCCAGGATCTCTTACTGTATGTAGATGTGACAATCAAAATATACATACATGTAGGACTTGCATTATTATGTAGGTGCCTTACTAAGCTGTCCCGATTAGCCAATGATATACACCTAGCATATTCCAAGCCAATTCAATGCCAGTCAAAACAAACGGCCTACCATTCTTCATCCCATCTAAGAAGAGCGAGAAGTTGACACAGCTGTGTCATTACCACTCAGAACGCTTCCAAACAAGAGAAGTGGGGCCTTTGCTCTAGAGCACAGGTATATAGTCACGCAAAACAGTCGGATTATCCCAGTATCCGCATCCGAAAGCCCAGCTGGCTCAATGGTAGAGCATCAGACTTCTAATCTGAAGGTTGTGGGTTCGAGTCCCACGTTGGGTGCGTTGCTTTTTGCCAACACGAATTTTTTCTACATCTGAAATCCTCTGAGGGCCGTTTTGTTAGATTTTTGCTTGCCGTGATCCAATTGATTACTTGCGACCAGAATTTGGTTAAATATGCGGGGAACACTTTCGCGGTTGTCATAACAGCTCCAACTTTCTCTGCCAAGACCCATGCTCAGACTTCACGTCCACTTGCGCTCGCTTATGCTATTCGCTCGTGCGACCGCTATCATACCAAAGCCACATAGATATAAGAGATAATCCAGTTATGGCATGTCAAAGTCATGCAGGAGTTGGTCGGTGCCTGTATTTTTTCATGAAAGGGTGTCCTACGCCTTCTTTTCCAAGATGCGGCTGCTAACCTAACCTAGTTGTTTGAGCCCTCATTTCATGAGGGCAAGTTCTTCCCTAACTTGTTATCACGTCGATGGATATCTGGTATTAGAATATCATTTTCTTTCAGGCTCACATGTCGGTTCAACGGTGAATTGCTTTTCGGACGAGTATTCTCTGTTTTGAGGTCCTCTCTATCAGGTCTGAACGAACACCACTATGCAAATCGGAATTTCCTTTGTTTAACTCGATAGGATGCAAGTCCAGCCCGTCTATTGCCAAGAAATAATGTTCTCGCCAGCCTAGTATCCCCTTTTCCTACTCACTCTATTCAAGAACTCCTTTCCCTCGCTTAGTCTTTCAAGATTGATTCTCAGGATATCCAGCAAGCGGCGGTTGTAGCTTGCTGAGTTACCACTGACATGGGGCGTGATGATAACATTCTTTGCGTCCCACAGGGGATGCTCTTTCGGCAGAGGCTCCGGATCGGTGACATCTAGAGCGGCTCCGCGGATCCATCCCTCATTGAGCGCGGTTACCAAGTCATCGGTATTGATGACCGGTCCTCTGCCAATATTGACTACAAATGTACCTTTTCCCCTGAGAGTCTGGAACTGAGGTGCGGAGATCAGTCCCTTTGTCTGAGGCGTTAGGGGCACGGCGAGCACGAGGAGGTCGAGATCCGCGGATAGGAATTCGGTAATCTCCTCGGGTGTCGTTCCCGAGAACCACTTCGAAGGCAATGTACCATCCGGGTCACCTAGACCAGGCACAATGTAGGAGTGATCGCGGCGAGACTCAGGGGTGGGCCTTGGCCTGTTCGTGTACGCGTAGACGTCCATCCCGATAGCTTTGGCGACTCGTGCTACTTGTCTACCAATACTTCCATACCCGAAGATGCCACTACAAGACACGGTCAGTGTCGAGGCTCGGAAGTCGACTTAAGTGTCGATGAAAACTTACACTCGTTGGCTAACGGCGTCTTGGGCGTCTGAGTCATTCCAGCTATGCTCCCATTTATGCTCCTTGATGTTGTCAAGGAAATGTGGAACTATGTGTAAGACAGTGAGCATACCAATAAAGCAGCTCAAACTTGGACCAACTCACTGTGATGCTGGAAGGCAAGATAAGTGCAGATGATCCATTCTGTTATCTGAGGTCTGTTGCAATTGGAATGGAGATTAGCTCAATGAAGTTCACAATTTGTAGAGTAACATGAATGACGTCCTGTTTGAACGGCACAACTTACGGATGCACGCCGTTCGCCGTGCAAAAAGCGATATCCGTGTCCGTGAACAGCGGGTTATTCAATATATAGTTCGCGCCGGCGCTCTGGAGCTGGACTAGCTGCAGATTCGGTGCCGCCTCCTTGGTAGGGAACTTGGGACCCGTCAGGAGAATCGTGACGGTCTTCCAGTCCTCTTCCTTGATATGGCTAGGGAGCGTTTTCTCCCGCCACGTATCCCAATTTGCGTGCACAACTTCTAAGCCCGGGAACGCCTCATGCAAGCCATCGATGTACTCCGCTGGCGGATCCCAGGGCACGAGCATGAGCAGCTTGTGCCCGGTTAAATCCTTGTTCGAAGCCGCGTCCATGACAGCAGTGCCTGACGGGTTTTCCAAGAGGACGTTTCTCATGCTTTTTACTTCCAATGACTGAATTTAGATTGAGGGGAGTTTATAGTCTGCAGCGTCAAACGCTTGGGATGATGTCGTTTGTGATACATTACCTAAAGTAGGTAGGTACCTAATGCAATGCCCCGCCGCTGCCGACTTAGGACAGGCCTATGGCGCAATCGGAGTTAGTCGGCCTCCAGTGCGGCTCGTAAAGGGCAAATGGAGCACAGTCTATGCCCTCTTATCGTAGCTCAGTACCATGCATATCACTTGGCAGTGTTTCGCTGAGTGGTTATGGCACGTTTATTAGGTAATGATCATGAAGTATTGAACGTTGAACACCAGAAAGTACCTATCTAGGTACCTATACATTGTAGATATTTCGAAAGATGGGGACTAAGGTACTGGATGTCCAAAACTTGCAGTTGAGAACTATGCAGATAACGGTTCTCTAATAGCTATTATAAGCATATCCCACGTGCAGAAGCGGGAAGCTGGGTGGGCGTCGGCGTTGGCACCTCGCACATGGCTGTGGTGGGATGGTTCGTGCAACCCCTACCCAAAATGATAATTCTCACTAGCTGACTAGTTGCATTTCTCTCTCCCAATTTGGAAGAAACAACAACAACATCTTTCACCAATCAAATCCATCCTTACATCTTTCAGTTACCCAGCTCACTGTTAATTCTTCGGTCACCTACTCGCCGCATCTTCACCTTTCCCGCTCTCGAGATTTCAGAAGGTTGATCTCTGGAGACCTTTTCACCTGCACTCATCGACACGTCTCTCTTCCCAGAGAAGGTACAGTATCGACCATGTCACTACTACGTCTTTCGACAGAACTTTTATGCTCCGTCATTGAGGAGTCGATGCCCGAAGGCTTCGAGAGTCTCATGTTAAGTTGCCGCCACATATACAAATGTGGAAAACACTTGATCGCATCGCACAACGACCGTAAGATGCGTTGGACTCATCTCGACCTTGACGAGAACTTTCACCACATGTCTGTTTTCGACTTGCTCCATGAGATTGCGGAGGAACCAGCCCTATCAAGGTATATTGAGTCCGTTGACCTCAGCTCTTGGCGATGCCGTTGCGAGCCACTTCGCGGCTTCGATCTCATACAACGGAATGACACAGCCCTCCACTGCATGAAGAGCTTTATCGAAGAATCGCCGTATCTACGCAAAGCGGAGGGATTGGTCCCGGAAGAATGGGCACATGGTATGCTTTTCGGAAGCATCGACGATCTCGAGAGGTACGCGGCATTGACGGCCCAGTTTTTTCTTACACTCTTGCCGAATGTTAAGACTCTGGTCCTACCACAATTCTGGGCGGATGTCTTCAAACCGCCGCCGCTGTTTACACACTCGGAGGATTCCCGTCTCGACTACCAGCGCGAGGCATGGGATCTGATGGAAACGATCAGGCAGACGGCCCAAAAGGGTCCTCAAGGTGCGTCACTTGGCAAGTTGGCGGAATTGCAGTTACGGTTTCCCGACTACGACCATAGAGGTTTCGACTTGTGTTCACTGTCAACGTTGTTGGCCATGCCGAATCTCACGGCGTTGCGTCTTCCCAACTGCGTGGCTACTAAAGATGATGATCGTGTGAGCTTGAGCTTTCGCTGGCTTTACCCCCCCAACATCAACTCTAGCTTACGCGAAATCAACTTGAGTTCCAGTTGCATGGACAGTTTTCACATTTCTGAGCTACTGTTTCATACACCTCACCTGATAAGATTCAGTTACAATCACGACATCAAGGACAGAGGCCTCGGATGGGATTGGGATGCAGGAGCTTTCATTGCCGCCGTCGGGAGGCATGTTGGGAGCCATCTCGAGGAACTTGATGTGACTTCTAATACCCCCTTTCACAGCGCAGGTACCGGGGTTACATCAATGAAGGAATTCACTAAGCTCAAGATTCTTACTCTGGATGCTCGGGTATTCTGCGGTACTCCTACTGCGCTTAGAGGGAAGAGCTTATGCTACTTACGCTTTCCAGAAATTATCTACATACACCGTACTACAGAAGCTATCTTGCCATGGACGATCGAATCCGTTCCACCCCTATTTCCAATGCTACCCTCAACTCTCGAAAGTCTCCACATACACGTTGCCACTAATCGATTTTGGATCGACCCGGAAGTAGTACAGAGGTTGTTCATCGGCTCCGCTGTCGACCGGCCGAGGCTTCTACCCAACCTCTCAGACCTTCGAATCCTGGCTTCCTTCAGTGGCGACACTATGGGAGATGAAGACACTATTCGTGCTTATGTCGAACCTGCAGGCGCTCTTTGCGAATTCAAGAGCCTCGACTACGACTCCGACTAATACAGCATCAGCTAGGTACACAACGAGTATGTCGACACGATACCAGTTTGCTATTGATCGATGCCGGCCTTCTATCACCTTATATCATAGCATGCACAGAAGCCTGGAGATCATAAAATTGCCCATTGCGAAAGGTAGTTCAACCGCTCTTCACATGCACTATGGTCGATGACATCGCTTAGGTGGCCATCACTCCGTGTGAGTCCAGGGACTCACGAGACTTCGTCTAAATAATGGAAAGGAAACCCTTACCTCGTTGTGGCATTGGGCCGGGATATCAGTTTTCGATGATAGGGTGGGTAATGAGTCATTGAAGTAGGCGGGCAGGGTAGTAGGGCAATGGACGTCTTCGGAACCCAACACAGGTAACAATCAGGACCAGTGGATCCCCACGCACTCAGGTACGTAACTTGCTGTGTCAGAAAAGAACCTCATCCGGGAGACTAACCTAGGTGCATAGTCTCAATACCCTATTCACCCGTAAGTTTGGAACAGTTTCATTCTTCATTCTTTATTCTTTGCAAAAAAAAAAAAAAAAAAAACCCAAAAAAAAAAAAAAAAAAAACCCCAAAAAAAACCCCCCCCCCCAAAAAAAAAAAAAAAAAAAAAAAAAAAAAAAAAGAGGAGAAAAGGGAGGAGGAGAAAAGGAAGAAAGGGATGCTTTGATTCACAACTCCATCACTTGAAATGGCGTTGTCAGTGGATTCACATT